CTGGACAGCACGTTGTCACTTGGGCCCAGTCATTCCCAGCCGTCCGCTTTCACCCCTCGGAGATCGACGATCCCACACTTCAAGCTTCGATTAGAGCCTACATCAAAGAGTTTCCAAATGTATTACCACCGCTCACGCTGGACGCGACCTGCGCTGCCGACTGGGATCGCGTTCAGACGCTCGTTGCACGCAACGGTCTCTTTGACGTGACATTCATGGGCAACGTTCTTCATATTGCTCCATGGAGCGTCACCTTGGCTTTGGCGAAGAACCTGCATACTGTGCTGGCCATCGGTGGCGTGTTCGTACTGTATGGAGCGTTCAAGCGCGACGGAAAGTTCACCACGACCAGCAATGAAGAGGTATGTTTGCAGCCAGGCGTGACTTAAACCTTTCTGCATCTTACTGCATTCTCATTCTTGCTGTTTTCAGTTTGATCAACAGCTTCGTGCGCGCAACAGCGAGTGGGGACTGCGCGATATCGCGGACGTCGCAGCAGAATTTGAAAAATCAGGCTTAGCGCTGCGAGAGGTCAAGGACATGCCAGCCAACAACTTTATCCTGGTGTTTCAAAAGGGGATAGTGATGGACCTTGTGTAAATTGCACCGGTGACAATCTGACAGCCGCGGAGTCACGTGACTGCGCGCAAACTATTGCATGGGTGATCGGTCGCTGTTGTGTCATCGGTCGTGGCACTCGCAGTCCACTCCCCCACTCCATCTGCCCCAACCCGCATCTGCACTTTACCCTCATTCAACACAAAGAACTCGGTCATTCAGCACCCTTCATTCTCTCTAAAGCAAAAGCCACTTACTTCAAACTTTATTCATCATGCCCAAAGCCTTTGTCGTCAAGGAAGCCAACAAGTTTGCTGTTGAGGACGTCGGCGAACCGCCCGCACCCGCTGACGGCCAGGTCATTATCAAAGTCAAGGCCGCCGCCGTCAAGTAAGGACTGTCCCCTCTTTTCGTGAAGCGAAGGTGGATAAGCAAGAAATTGACTGTCATTATGATTAATTGTCCTTAGCCCGGTGGACCACAAGATGGCCAAGACTGGCTACTTTGTCAAGTCGTTCCCAGCGCGCCTCGGCCTCGACGTCAGCGGCACCGTCTCGGCCGTCGGACCCAACGTCACGCAATTCAAGGTCGGCGATGAGGTCTTTGGCCGCCCGGCAATCGATGGATTCAGCGAGTACGCCACCGCGTCCGCAAACGGCATCTACCGCAAACCCGCCAACCTTACACATGAACAGGCGTCCACGCTCGCATGTGGCGTTACCACGGCTATTGTGGGCTTGTTTGCCGAGTCGGGACTCAAGCTCGCGAGGCCGAAGGAGAACCGCAGGTGGTTTGCGCCTGAATGGGTGCTAGTGTGGGGCGCGTCGTCATCGGTTGGTGCGTACGCGGTGCAGTTGGCCGCCGCGGCGGGTTACTCTGTAATCGCGACCGCAAGTGCCAAGCACCATGACACGGTACGCAAACTCGGCGCCGTGCATGTCGTTGACTACACCCGCCCTGACGCCATCGAGGAACTGAAAAAACTCGCCGGCGGTGGCCGCTGCCGCACGGCTTTTGACGCTGTCGGTGGGCCCGCCACTCGCATGTGCGCTGACGCGCTGCGTGCAGACACTGACCGGCCCTCGACCGTCGTGTCGATCGCGGCGGACGCAAACAACCCTCCGCAAATGCCCGAGGGCGTGCAGCTGCTGCCGCGCGTCAATGGCTTTGACCCGGCCTCGCATTCGTTTGCGTCGCAGGTCATGAATGAGGAGGTACTCGAGTACTTTGCTGCGGGACGCTTGGCGCCCAACAAGGTTAAGGTTGTGGATGGCGGTCTCGACGGCGTAGCCCACGCGCTGGAGCTCTCGAGCTCGGGCAAGGTTAGTGGCGAAAAGCTCGTTGTCGTCTTGGCGTAATGAACGAATTGTAGATCATGTAGCTCATACATTGTGGTAGAATCACGCCTAAATATACATTTCTATCATATATGCAAGCGTGTACAGCGAGAAAGAGCCAGAAAAAAGGACATTACACAATATCCCTTGCCCTTCTTCATATATAGCGCCAGGTGTGCTCTCCAATGGCAAAAAGAAGGGCAAGGCGGGGAAAAGGGTAGGTGGTGCGTTCCCCGTTTGTATGTAAATTATTCACTTTCCTTCTTTTCAAGCCTCCTCCTCCTCATCATCCTCCTCCTCATCATCCTCCTGGCTCTTCAACCACTGTACAAACGGCTCCATCTGCTTTTGGAACAGCGTCTTGCCCTGCGCGCCCGCACCCTTTTCGAACCAGTATATCAGCGCGCTGTCCGATACGACGTCCTCGTCGTACAGCAGCTTGGCAATCGTGCGGAAGTGCTTTTGGAACCGGCCGTCTTCGTAGCACATTTGCTGCACGCGCAGCAGCAGCGAGAGCTCGGTCTTGGCCGATGTGCAAAAGACTGCGAGCACTTTGCCCCAGGTCTAAACAACATGAACAAAGAGATGAAAAAGGATGAGTATGAGCGGGTTTTAATGCCCCCAATCACTCGCGGCCCTTTTCTAACCGTGAGCACACTCTTGATCTGCGCCTCGAGTTGCTCAGGGCGCGAGGCCCAGTCCTTGGACGCCATCAGCGACGCCCAAATAATGGGCACTACGTCCGCCTCGGTCCACGAGTTTGCCGAAACCTGCTGCTTAACATACGAAGCAGCCTGCTGCGGCGTGCCCTCCACAAACATCTCCTGCAGCTTGGCCGCAACCTGTTCTTTGACCGCGCTCTGCTGGCGGCGGTTAAAGTACTCGACGAGCGGCTTGAGACCCTCGGCTTCAAAGTGACGCGCCACGTATTCGGGCTCGCGCTTGCCAGGAGGGAAAAACTCGAGCAGCCGTTCCTCGAGTCCGGATTTTTTGATGTTGGTGCTGAGTTTGTCTATGTTGTTGTCTTCAAGGTAGCTGCGGAAGACACCAGTCACAAACTGCAACGAGGCGCCTAGAGACAAAGAGATCAGCAAACGCCTATCCAACGCCTCTCGATCGAACACTCCGTTTCTCCTTCGCACACACCATCCTTGACCAGGTGGTCCTTCATGACGTTGGCAAGCACCGAGATGGGCAGCAGCTGCATGGTGATGAGCCTGCCGGTGGCGCGGGCCAACTTGGCCGAGTTGTCGCCAAACTTGTTGACGTATTGTAGCAGATGGCCCATGCACTCTTCCAGCCTCCGCTGGAGGTACTTGTATCGACGAATCAGCTTGCTGTAAACGCGAAGATAAAGAAAAGAAAGTACGGAAAAAGGGCATAAGTTTTCTGGCCTCGCAATTCGCTCTGTCGACCGCGCTCTCTCTCCCTCTCCTTCCATATCGTCAGTCGCATTACGCACTTCATGATATCAACCCTGGCCTTGATATCCTCCTTCGTGTCCTCGCCCGCGAAAATGCTGAACGGGTTCTGGCGCGGTCCATCTTCGACAATGCCTCCGGGAGCAATAAGGCCACCGACAATCAAGAATTCAAAAAGGGGTTCGCCGTAACGCTTGTAGTCGAGCCCGGCTCCATTCAGTTCCAGCAAGCTCGTGTACTTTTCAATATCGTCCGGGTTTTCGGGGATGGTGTTTAAGATGGCGTCCCGGAAAGCTTCAGGTTCATACTTTGTTACGGTCTCTCTCTAACGAGGGGGGCGTAGAGATAGGGGATTCGTTTAGCGGGCCGAGGCCGAGCGGCTTGTGGAGCTCAAAGGCTTCCCACTGATCATTTCGTTTGGTGTTTTTTTGTCCAAACCTTGCGCTGCTTGAGCTTAAACTGAGGTGCAGGGGCGGGTGGAGCAGACATATATATATCAGTGTGTATCTGCCTTGGCTGAACTTTAAGGGCTGATGAAATGTGGTGGTGGGATGTGATAATGGCAAAGTCTGTCCGCCGCGAACTGAAAACACACCGCATCCTAGATATAGGTCGCGCTGTCGGAAAACGGCCTGGCAGCACCACTCTATCTTCGCCACCTCTTCGGCCCGCAAACGTCCTCTTAAGCTCTAACGTTATACCAAACGAATGCTAGGATCCTACTGGCGAGCATACTCGCAAAGGCAGGAAGAAAATTTGGAGCAATAGACTGCGTCCCTTTGCTGAAAAGCCTTCCAGTCATCGATGTGTCAAACCATTCGCTTGCAAATGAACCTTGTATGCCCCGGCTCTCAGCACCTGATCGTCAGGTGCAGTCGACAACCTTGAAAAACAGAAAGGTCTGTCGCGTCCATCGTGATTATCTCGCCGGACTCGAGCTCGAATTTCTCACAAATCATCGACAACTCATCTCGAAATCAACTGATAGACGCTGCGCGGGACGGGAGCGCCGTGACCCGGAGCTTTGCATCGCATTTATCCTGCATGCTGACAGCCAGAAGCCATGTCAAAAAAAGGTACCGACGTAAGGATGAGCATCGCCTACAGCGACGCAAAAGCGAATGAGATATGAGTCACCCGCGAAAGCGTAATGGTCAAGCTAAGCTCCCAGCAACAAGATATGAAGCGAATCGCACACATAAACAAGCACAGCAAAGCAAATGGACGATAAAGCGGAGGAAAAATGAATCTGAAGCGGCCCCGAACGTTTTCGTAATAGTTAAGTGGAATCTCCAATCAGGAAATCCAGTTACCATGTCAGCTTACAACCGACAGCTGAAACCTTTGCCCTTTAGGCGCCCCCGCCCGGCGACAAACAAGCACTCGGCCTGTACATGAGGGATGGGCGTGTCCTCCATGGTGCCTCGTACACTGGATCAGACGGTCTTTTGCGAGCGGAAGCTGGAAATATGGGGCGAAGTACGAGGTCGCACCCCATGCCTAAATTTTTTGGCGACCACTCTTTGCCCGTCTCTCACTCGAAGTCGTGAATTTCTCCCAGTGGGGAGAGCAAGAGAGGAAGAGAGGCGCCTGTCAAAGGCGCGCGCGCACACACACTCTCGCACTCTGGCCAAAAGTACAATGTTCCATCAACAAAAGATACAGCCTGGGCCTCCCCACACTCCGATCCTGCCAGGGCTCGAACCTGGAATCTCTCGCTTCGTAGGCGAGCGCCTTGCCATTTGGCCACAAGACCGTCGATGTTTGCCCGCCGGGATGGGAGAAAATGTATGTTTTGTCGCAAAACTGAAAAGAGCGCGCAATGCAAAAATGTTAGACGCGAAGGCCGGACAGCTATTTTTTTCTCGCCAACGGGAGCCGATCCGCCCTCGGGTCTCCCCTTGAGGCGTGTCGGGGCTGCCTGCGGGCGGCGTGGTAGAAGAAAGAATCGTCGGGAATGATGGACTGGCAGCTTCAAGTGTAATGACCACTTTTTGTTGCGCTTAGGCTTCGAACTCTACCAAAAATTTGCTCCAAGTCCTCGCCGCCCATGTATCAAGCATTTCGCAACGCAAACAGTGTCATAAATTGGTATTGGACATTGAAAGCGTGTGCAGAGCATTCCAGGCGTCCGCGTCAATGGGGTAACATTCTGGCTGAACCCAGCCTGGAAACTAGATATCCCCGTAAAACGCGCGCGAGGGGACTTTTGTTTGACAGGCCCATGAAAAAACGAGCGCCCGCTCTCACACCCCCTTCACGCTTTCTCTTCACTTCCTTTCCTTACAATTCCTTCCCTTCCACGTCACTCGGAGACGTTAAAAAGTCCCGTGGCTGGAAGTGGCTCCACGTCAAACACTGATCCTAAAAGGCCCGGAAGGAGTGAATCCAAAGCAAAGCGACCGTAAACTCGATGGCCATTCTTTATTACATATGCTTCAGGCGCAGAGTCAGGCGGACAAGCGTTACTTCACAGCAATGGCACATCGTTTGCAAACAATGCGTTTGCAAATAAGGGCCTTGCTTGCGTTAGGACCATACAAAGGCCCATCGCTTGCATACAGGCCCTTTTTGCGTTAGATCTATTTTGTGTGAGGGCGCGATGTACGTTGATTTCGTTGTGTGAGGTGCGGTGCACCCTGCGACCGCTGTTGCCGCGGAGGCTGCCAGCATCCAAAATGTGGAGTTTTCCGACTGCTCACTACGTACGCTCCAGTCACGCGTAGTGCGGTAGCGCTTGAGAAAGCCAAATGAAGACTGCATCACAAGCCCGGTTTTGCCTACGATGCAGGCTTCATATGGCCGTAGCTCAGGCTCCGCAAAGGCAATCTTATCGGTGCTTCAGACGAGGAGCCACAGCGCGTACGTACAATGGATTGGCCCATGCGCAGCATGGTTTGTCCTTGTACTCTGCTCCGTCAATGAGAGTCCTCGGTCGACTGGCCCAGTGGGAAGTCGAGTTTCCGATGTGGCCGCAGCAGTGAGCTCAATTGCTGAAGTCCTTCTAGATATAGCCGTTCCAAGTGCAATGCCAACACCCCGGCTGCCAGTATCTTCAACAAATTCGGAAAAGCCAGGCATCATCGCAAGGTCAGCAAGTCCCAGCGGAGCTCTAAGCGAGGCACCAGCGAGAGCAGGCGGAGCACCAGCAAGAGCAGCAGGTCCAGGCGCGGCGCCAGCAAGAACAGGCGCCGTGCATCGCAATGCCTTTGGCCCGGCGGTTCAAAAGCACGCCCACTTTCATCGCAAAGGCCAATACCGGCTTCCAAAAAATGGACAGCGCGGTAGTTCTCTTTAATGGCTGGAACAAATGACTTGTGTGTCAGAATCGTGATGGTGACCGCTTGATTCACTGGGCTCTGCCACTTCAGCACAAGTCGACCGCGCAAGTTGGTGCCTTCCAAAACCATGACTGCGCCCGGACACTGACGGGCGACAGCGCCTTGCGGCAGAATGCGGTATCTGCGAACGATCGCCGTGCTGGTGCTGCCGTTTGCCTGGATCACCATCTGGCGGCCTTCCAGCACGGCGTGATGGACATAAAGTGATTGTGGTCTCTGCAAATTTCTAGACTTTTTGCGTCCAAAGCGTGCTGTCGCTGGAAAGGATCATCCATCCACGAGTCGTCAGGCGCATTGGCGGGGGCAAACGCCCTAAGAATGCTCCGCAGCGGATTGATGTTGCCGCTGGCAAGGGCGGCGGCGCTCAGGGAGTGTGTCGCATAGAGGGTCCCTTCAGCAAGACCGTTTGCCCATGTCAGCCATTGATCCCTTTGCGCAACGGGATCCTGAATGTGACGAAACACATCCGGTACCTGCAGCTTGTAGAGCGCCCAAATTTGAGGTTCGGTCTGCTGAACCAGAGGCGCCCACTGCTCTTCTCCAAGCAGCGTACGTTCTCGAGCCGATGCAGCCTGCTTGTCACGCACGGACTGCGCCGTCTCATATCGAGGGCCTCCCGCAAAGTGAGTCTGACACGTTCGGGCATCGTCGTCCAGCACCCATATGCACCTTCAGTTGCCATTTGGCAGACAGATACGTGCACAATACCTCCCAACGGAGGCTCAGTCGATGCGTCGGTCTGCGACAGGATCGTAAAGCGAACAAAAGGCTCAGCTCCAGCCGCAGCGGCGGGCGCGCGTTTGCTACATGCAATGCGCGCGTTTTGGCAAGGGTTTCCGCATACCAAACGCGCGCTCGCCGCTGCGGCTCAACCATCTCACGCGGACGCGTACCTCCGCTCCATGAAATGGCTGGAGCGCAGAGCTCCCGAAACGGGTCCCGCACCATCCACGCAAGGTCTGCGCGGGTCGGTGACCACTCCTCGTGAACCAAGTTGACGTGAAACACCGGTTGCGCCGACCGGAGCGTGGCAAAACAAAGACTCCACCCCATGGCACGCACCGCAGGCGCTCGTGCTGGCGAGAGGGCGAATTGCCAGCAGGTTGACAGTGCCACCAACTGGCACGCTCTCTTGTCGTCCCATCCACGTGGCATCCCCGCATTGAGAGCGGTTGGCATGACGGCCTGAGACGCCGGAGGTTTTCCTTTGTAAACAGTCACAAGTGTCTGACATTGGCACCATTAGCACATGCTAGCGGTGGCCGACGTCGTTGGCGAAGCCAACTATCGTTGGTGCAAGTAGCACGAAGCCCGGTTTGGCCACATTCTGGACTCACGCCTGGGACAAGCGTGTATCATCTCAGCCACTTCAAGCTGCGGTCGACGGCGTCAGAGCGTTGGAGCTGATGCCGGTGCGCCCGTGTTTTTCACCAGTTGTTCCTTAAGCAAAGGGAAGGAGTATAAGCGCGGCGCATATACACTCGAGAATGTCAAGCCGAATACACCGCGCCTAAAGAAAAGAACAAGCTACGTCGATCATGGTTTGCCTTATTATTGCGAACCTGCACATAAATACCGCGGCTGCGTTGGTTTGCGTACGTATATGCAACTCGTCGACTTGTCAAACGCCGACAACCTGACTGTGGACAAGGCAAGGCGGGGCAATGACTTGTGCCTAGAGCACTCGGTATACTGTGCCATGGGTACTCAGCGCTCACCAGTAGACGAATGGAAAAGCTACGGGGTAGCGGCGCGAGAGAAAAGAAAAGGCGTCACTGGATGCCGGGGGTGTGCAACTGCCAGCACGTCCTACATATAGCCCAGTGATCAAGAGCGACCGCAGAAGTTGACAGCCGAGTCTCTAACATTCAATCTGGTTCTTTAGCCCAATGGGTTAAAGGCGTACGCTCAAGTTGGAAACAGCAGATTCTGAATCAAAAACGGTCCTATGGCCTAATGAGTTAAGAGCGACTGCACAAGTCAACAGCCAAGTCTCTGAGATTCAATCTGGTTCTTTAGCCCAATGGTTTGAAGGCGCACGCTCGAGTTGCAAGCAGCAGATTCTGAATCAAAAACGGTCCTATGGCCCAATGAGTTAAGAGCAATCACTGAAGGTAACAGCCGAGTCTCTCACATCAAATCCGGTCCTATACTGTAGCCCAATGGTTTAAAGGCGCACGCTCGAGTTGCAAACAGCAGATTCTGAATCAAAAAGTGGTCAATGGCTTAAAGGCGCGCGCTCGAGTTGCAAACAGCAGATTCTGAATCAAAAGCGGTCCTATGGCTCAATGAGTTAAGAGCAACTGGGGAAGTTGACAGCTGAGTCACTGACACTCAATCCGGTCCTATGGCCCAGTGGTTTAAAGGCGCACGCTCGAGTTGCAAACCGCTGATTCTGCATCAAAAGCGGTCCTATGGCCCAATGGTTAAGGCGCCCGCCTACGAAGCGGGAGACTCCAGGTTCAAATCCTGGTAGGATCGCAATCATTTTTTGTTTTTTCGCCTTTGCTTTGCAGCTTTGGGGGGCTTCCGCCCCCCACACCCCCCTCTCTCTGCGACACGCATGGTCAAACGCCAAAAACGCAAGTGCCACGGTCAGGCGTTTGATGTTAGTTGGCAGCATGTCTATCAGACAAACGCTGCAAAAACAGCATCTTGGAAGTTCTTGTAATATGCCTATCGGTGTTTGAAGACATGATACACCACGAGGAGTCATACAGCTGTCGGGGGGCTCTGTGTCGAAAGCACGGTAGGGTGACAAGGGAGCTCTGCGACACTCTCAAGGTTCGATGCATGATTTGCACCGCCCCGCTTCTCCCCGCCCTACCGGGCCGACGGCCGGCGCCGCGCCAAGGAAACGAATTATATCCCTATATCACACTGTTTGAATACCCGACAGGATGCCAAGGTACGCTTGCTCGCTACGCTCGCCCGCCTCTCGGCCCTGAGGGACCGAGAGCCGGCACGGTGCTGGGGCCAATCAATCAATGCGACAGAAAGCTTACTCGCTACGCTTGTCCGCCTCTCGGCCCGCCAGTGCGGCGCTGCTCAGCAAGCGTATGTCCTCTCCGTCGATCCAAGCGGATCGATGGCCGGCGCGGCCCTTATGAAGTCTTTGGCACAGATCAATGTATGTCAGATCTTGTGGTATACCATTTTGCAATATTTGGTTAACCTTTGCAGAGCTCTCCAGGGGATGCGGCGCGCAAAGTTCTTCTGTGAGGAGAGAGGAGCTTTTATGATATAGCTTTGTTTCGAGGAAAGCTAGTCCTCCCTCTCCCGGAGGGCAGTTCTGGTCAGTCCCCACCACACTTCCTCCTCAAACATCAAACAAATAGAGAAAGGGAAAACCAAAAAAAAATGAAAGAAAAACACCCTCCGCAATGTCCCAAACCTGCCGAAATCCCCTTGGCGC